TTCCCTTCATATGCACGAAACAAAGATCCCCCGTATAGATTTAACAGACTTTTAGGGCAAGTGCTGTTAGCGAGCACCTATGAAGGCCGGCACGGCACACGAGGGGGTGGGTGGCCAGCATCACACCCGTCCGCCTTTGTCTCTCCAGTGGCGATGTTTACATACTGCACCAGGTGCTCATTTTAGGCTGAGTCGACCTAGGGGAGGCCCAGGACCGGTTCAAATTATCGTCGCTGATGTTGGCCGTGAACTCGGGTCGCCAGGTCCGTAGCGCAGTGCACTAACCGCTAGACTACCGCTCCCCACCTGTGCATATGCACACACAGACACACATGCACTCATTGTGTGCACATGTGGTGGAGTCACGCCGTTTGCATTAAGTTGACTTTTTGAGACTCCAGCAGTCGTCGTGCACAGTTTGATTAGAGTTGCAGCCATTCACCTTTCCGAGGGAAACACTTTTCTGTTCCAATGTTTTATTTGACCACTCAGGGCACAATGTATGGACTGTGAGTACGTATTTACAAAAGTACATGTGCAAACGTGTCTCCAAGCTTCACACCTTAGAATTGAAAATACATTTTTTTTCTATAAAATTCAGTTGTATATTTCTTTGATTTTTTTATTTATTTCCCTTTATACTTTAAAACTTCCAAAATAAAAGTATGTCCACGTGTATCCTGAGCAGTTGGGATGAACAGCTGACACTTATCGGTCTAAAGAAGTAGATTTTAACCGCAAGCTATGTTTTTTATAAAAGTTTAATTGTCGTGATATAATAGGACATTAACGGTATTCCATTGCTATGTGGGACAAACATCTGAGATAATGTTGATTTATAATAGCCTTACAAAGGGCGAGGGTTGGGAATAGGTTTGTAACTGATGTATGCATAATACATGGCTCATAATGAATCACTTTAATGCCAGCAAAATGTTACAATGTGGACATGTTTAATTTGGGTGGAAAAAACACATTATGTCTTCGATGAAGTTTGAACCTGCCACTCCAGCATTACAGTTATTATTGTTTAAAAGATTAGTTCTAGGAACATATATATGTTTTATTAAAAAATACGTTTTAATTGGATTCGATTTAAAAAGAAAAGAATGAAAATAACTCCTAATAGTAAAAGGGCAACATTATTACAATTTCAGCAGCATGCAGTGTTGTACAGGCATGCAGGTTACCGGTGGCAGTAGTAATAGTGGTGGTGTTGGTAGTGTTACTCATAATAATGAATAAAGGTTTTTGGGTTAAATCGCGTAAGTATGAATGTGTCGTAACCTTCCACCACCCGACACAGCCAGTAAGGTTTGTCACGTAAACAACGCGCCAGTTAGTTACTACTTCAGCCGACCAGTGTGTTGGAGAATAAATCCACAACATTTACAGTGTTACTCAGTGGTAGTGTTCGTGCTGATAGTGGCCGTGGTGGGAGTTGTGATGGTTGTGTTGGTAGTAGTAATGTGGTTGGTCATGGTGTGTTTAGAATTGCTTTTTGTATTTAGTTTGCTGTCCTTCCAGCAACCTCCGATTAGCACGGTTGGCTACGTACGGTGCAAAAGAAGTTCAACATACAGACATACGAGGGTGTTGTTGTTATTGGCAGTTGTGTTAGTGGTGGGAGTCTCCGTATTGGAAATGATAATGTTGCAGTTGTGTTTATTGTAGTTTTGGTAGTGTCAGTGTTGGTAGTGGAAACCTACTCTGTGGTCACCACCTTCATTGCTCTCAGATGAAGTGGTCTCACTAGCCATTCAGCCCTTCGTGATGTCAATGCCCTCTGCCTCAGCTAGGAATCATCACTTTTCGGCACTGGGGCCCAAGGAGAAATAGACTCTACTCCAAGTCTAACAGTACCAACATTGTCCAAAGTACTCACAACCCAAAAGCTCACTACCATGAATATCACCCAGTTCTCGCAACTCTACTACGTTTTTTTACGATCTTATCGTTTATATGTATATAGTGCCTTTGTCCCAGGTGCTAAACAATTATAGTATAATTGTACATTCGATGATAGTGGACAACATGGAGAGTGGGGTTATTAAAAGTGGCGGTGTAGCTATGGTGACAGAAATAAGGACAGATAGGAGTGGTTAAGGAGGGGTTGGGGTCGTGGTAGTGATACGGGTTGAAGTAGGCTCACATCTACTTCCTGTCACCAAATATGCCCACCACCCAAAGCTTTCTACCCACTCTCCATATCACCAGCGCCTATGTCGGAATCGCTATGCCTGTCTCAACAACCCCATGACCATGAGGCTTACTGCACAAACGTGCCAGCCACCCTTTTGTTAAATTTATACTGCTGAATGTCGTTTCTTGTTGACGTTATTCCTGCAGGAGGGAACTATATAAATCGTTTGTCTCACTGGGACTTGACACACGCACACCCTCTGAGCTCTACTCACTCTGAGTTGTTCCTCCCTGGCTGCCAACTCTACAAGTGCACTCGCTCCCCTAGCTGGGGTGGTGAAATTTGATGTCATCCCTAAACCAGTCTGTAAATTCCGTACCATAAATTCCCCCAAATGTCACCTCTTTTGAGGGTCTCTCCCCTCACCTTCTGACCCCCTCCCCTCACCTTATAACCCCCTCTAACACGAGAGTCTCTGTCGTCCACCGACCACCGAATCCAAACTCCAACTTTTCAGATCTGACCTCGACGTCAGGTCTCTCCTCCCCTCCACTCACCGTTGCTGGTGATTTGAGTCTCCAGTCCCGTGAAATTCATTAATCCCTCCCAGCTGACCTCATATTAACAGCTCAGCCCAGCCCCATGGCCACAGTCGTCTCCAACACACAAGTCCATCACTCTCACCACCATTTTACCTTTTACTTATTGTGACCACCACCTTACAAACGTGTCCTTTTACCTCTCAAGGCCACCTCTTTCCAGATCACCAACGTTCATTGTACCTCACCAGATACCCATCCCCTTCAGTTCTCGGCTTCCGCATTCAGCCTTTCGATCCCAGCTGCAGTATCCCCCATTGCCTACTGCTACGAATGATCTATCTCCTGTAAAGACCTGTACATTGTACAGAACCTCCTCGACCCTTGAAAAAAAAGTCACTTTTTTCAAATTTTCTTGCTGTGGTTTTCACACCTGATGATGATTGCTTGTGTTGCAGTCAAAACGTCGTGAGAATTGTATTGTTTTATATTGTTATTATTTTATTGTTTCCCTTCTACGTGACTTTACCGAAAGAACCAAAAATATGAATCCCTGCAGTTACGAAAGCTTTAAATCAAAACTCTCCTCTAATTTTTCTGCTAAGGTTGCATTCTGGTATTTGACTCTGCTTCTATTACTCCCCAGTCACCTTCCCTTGACATTCCTCAGCCCATCACCATAAGCAGCATCACTACAATCATGTCCAACCTACAATTCTCCATCCTCTGCTTCACAAATTCACCCCTCACTGTGTAGCCTCGCTGTGTGTAAATCGCCAGCTTCGTTCAGGGCTTCAGTCTCCTCCAGTACCGTCCCCCAAGCCTTCAAGACTGCTGCTGTCAAAAAAAGAAGAATCCAAACTGTCCCAACATGCCTGCAGATGTCCTTCCTATCTCAAATCTCCTTTATATCAGAGAAGCTCGAATAGGTGTTATCTTCTCGCATGTCCCCAAACACCTCTCCCTTCGTGATCTCCACGATTCAGTACAATCTGGTTTCTGCCAAGGCCATTCTTATGAAACTGCTTTCCTTCAGGTGGTAAATGGCCTTCTCTCTTCAGACCATAGCTCACTCTCACTCCATGTTCTGTTAAACCTTCCTATTGCTATGGACGCCATAGACAACTCCAACTTTATCGACCAACTCCATAACAATGATCGTGTCTCGGGCACTTACCTATCAAACTGCTTTTTCCACTTACACACGAGGACTGTAGTGTTGGTGGTGGTAGTGGTAGTTAGTAGTGGTAGTGGTGGTGTTAGTGGAAGATATAGCACTAGCGTCACCACCACAGAAAGGCCACAGCCTGGGCCGCTGGTCCGGGGCGCTGGGGTGCCCGTGGCTCTGGGCAAGACGCCCTCACTCCATGAGCTGACGGCACCGCTGGGCTGATCTCATGTGTGCTCGGGGTGTCCGCTCGCTCCGCAGGCGCTCGGGCGGCTGTGCCGTGCCGGGTCCCAGCTGATTGGCCGCACCCTACACCATGAATCACCACTGACGCTAATAGTTCCCCGTGCTGGTTAAGGGGTGCTGCGTTAGGTGTAAAACATGACATCTTCACAATTCTGCGGTGCACTTAAGCTCGGCCCCACGCTCACACCCTTTCCCCCTCCAGCCAATATCCTTAATGAGGCCAGTAATTAATTGGTGTCCTCAAATCTCCTGATTACTGACATGGAAGGCAGGGCTGCAGGATTAACCCCATTCTCCCTATCCACTAAGTCAACAGACAGCAACCAATTCCACAATAAATGACTTCGCTGCAGTACGTAGCACCACAAACTGGTAATGTCTGTCGTCCTTTGCTCCCACTCTCAAAGCCTAATTACCCGTGTGCGCCGAGCTCCGTGTGCTCGTGGGAGGCAGCGCACACTCCCTTTACCAGGAGCCTGCCGCACGTTGTGCCGAACAAGCGGTGTTTGCGGCGGCGGCGGTGCACAGACGGTCAGGAGCCCTGCGCTCAGATCAGATTCACGGGCCTTGCCCGTTCGCCAGTTACGTCTCGGAGAAAACAGAATGCGCACTCTCTTGAACTCTGCAGATGTATAAGTGCATCATCTTTATCGAACAATACAGATATTTAATAAAAAGGCCACTTGGTTTAAATGTTGCTGAACGTATATTATTCTTCCTTAGGGTCATTTTAATTTCCTTGTATTTTCACGACGATACATCATGCCGTATTGACTGTGGAGTGACTGATGCTGACGGCTTTTGCCTTTCAAGAAAGTCCCAAGATTTATGGTAATTTATCGCTCTTGTATCCCTTGTCCCCCGTGCTGCCCCCGCCTGTCCTCTCTATTGACGTCGTTCCCAGGCTCCTAAGCAGGATGTCAGCCAAAGATCGCCGCATCGATTCCAACGGGGGCTCATACATCAAGACGGAGCCGTCGAGCCCCAGCTCCATGCTGGATGGCATCTCCAGCAGCCACCACAGCCCCGGTGGCTCCTCCGACGGCAGCGGCAGCTACTCCACCGCCGGCAGCATCAACGGCCACCACCATCATCACCATCACAATCACCACAACCACCACCACCACCACAACCACCACGGCCTGGACTCGCCCCCCGTGGGCTTTCACGGCATGCCCAACGCGGCGGTGCCGCGCCGGCGCTACGAGGACTGCTCGGCTGGAGTGGGGGGCGGAGGCCCCCCACAGCTCACGGATGATCCCACGGCCAAATGCGAGTACATGCTCAACGCCATGCCCAAGCGCCTGTGCCTGGTGTGCGGGGACGTGGCGTCCGGCTACCACTACGGCGTTGCCTCGTGCGAGGCCTGTAAGGCCTTCTTCAAGCGCACAATCCAAGGTATGGGCCTTTCTCAAGCGTTCTTCGACTTCCGCGGCCTCAGAATAGTTTTCTCTCTCGTGAAACGGCACTCCGCCGAGTTTGAACGCCTCTTCTGTGACTTGGCCTTCGTGCGGTAAAAACACCGATTTGCTCCGCTGCTAACAGCCCCACGCATTTGCATGCGTTCTTCACAAACCGCCTGTGGCCCACATTGTGCAGGATGAGTGCGGGGGAAGTGGTCATGCCAGAGATCTCTGGGCAACGGCTCCTGCTGCTGGTGGCTCCGCAGTCAGAGTTCAAAATCCAGAGGGAACCTGGAGTCTCCTTTTGAACCCATACAGATTTTGCCAATAATCGCAAACTGTTATATGTTTGCGAGCATGCACCTTCCGTGTCCGGTGGTCCAGAATGATATAAATTATTGTCTCTTATAACAGCTGCTTTATACACGTGCATGTCGCGTTTTTATAAAGTGGCACGACGCATTGCCATCCACCTGGATACATTACCCAAGCCGAGAGTCCCATTTCGTGAACCCCCGTGCCTTCTCAGATTTCTGCACTCGGTGTACTCCTTCTCAATGTGCCAAAGCAAGTTTTGCTTCGATGGAACAAAGGGTTATCGAACTAATTATGGGCGTTCTTGCAGTTTATTGAGAGTGTTGTGCGTTAGATTTGCGCATGTCATTCAGTGTGTGCCGGTGTCCACTATTGTGTCAATACAAACATACACGTTTTTGTGTCACCTGATATTGCGTTGTCTGGCTGTGTGCGCGCGCACGCGCGCGCGTGTGTGTGTGTCTGCACGCGTGGGTGTTCCGCGCGTGGGTATGTATATGCATGCGCGTGTGTGTTTGCCGAGTTGAGAAAGAGACAAAGGAGCAACAAAAATAAGAACACATTACTTCAAAAGGGCTGTGCTCCTCTGTGTCACCGAGTGAAATATTTGGGTCTCATTTTAAATGCGCTCTTGTCCAGAGCAGCCACAGTCCTGCGTGGTAATTACGTAAGTGCTCGACGCGCGCGGTAATTGGATACTGGCATTACATTCTAAATGCAAAAATTACTTGGAATTAAAGACGAGATGAAATCAGAACGGACAACAAAATCACACGTTTCACTTCAGTAATGCTGAAGAATCCGAGTTTTTATCTCTGCATTTGCATCTGAATTGGAGTGGAGTGGCCCGGGATCAAGTGAGGGGTTTTTCCTGTCTCTGCGCCTCGGCGCAGCGAGGGCTGATTAAGTTCTGACGCCTGAGGTTGTCCACTCGGCAAATTATCGACAGTGGTTTGCTTTCTGCTTCTCTGCTTTTTCCGATGCCTGGCTTCGACCGACCGTGTTTTGTCAATATCAATCAGTGTTTACTAAGTGTGATTAACTCTGAAATATTTCATCTCGGCTTGCATCCCCAGGGGCCAGAGTGCTAATTACGCTAATACGCATGTGGTTCAATGATCTGTAAAGGTTTCTTGGCTGCTTCTGATCCAGTGTGAGGATGATGCAGCAAGGCCCCTTGTGTGCCCTGTCTTGTCTAATGAGTGGCAATACCACCCGGACAACTTCACTCAATCTCACCCACACAGATCACTCTTCTCTCACTCTCATCCACACGGATCGCTATTCACTCACTCTCATCCACACAGATCACTCTTCACTCACTCTTATCCACACAGATCACTCTTCACTCACTCTTATCTCCATGGATCACTCTTCACTCACTCTAATCCGCGTGGATCACGCTTCTCTCTCTTTCTCTCATCTACATGGGTCATATTTCACTCTCACTCATCCGGCATGAACTACACTCGTCACAGTCTCTCACGTTTAACATCTACTGTATATGAAGAATTTGAAGAATCCCATTCATAATGAGAGATGTCGTTCCTCTTTGAGAATTAAATTTCACCACATTATGATTGAACCCAAGTAAATTTTAGCGTCAATTAAGATTATCATTAAGCACATTTTAGAGGATTGTGACCAAATCATCATGGATGCAGTTGAACTCGTCAAATCTCAGAGATTGAGCATGTCTGAGACTGGGTGGCGCTTGGATGGGCGACCACCATGCATGGCAGGTTGTTGTAGAATTATCAGCTATGTGGTGGGCAGCGGAGGGCAGTACAGCAAAATCGATGGTTGAACTTGCTCCCCGCTCTTCACCAACGCAACACTAAGCAGCATGGTGGAGTACAGTCGAATAGCCCCAACAACCGGCGTGGCTTGGGGAGACCCTCATCCAGCAGCAGATGGACCAGGGTGTCTTCATGTTCGTATTTTGAAATGGTTGGTCTGGTCGCTGTGTGTGGAAGCGTGCTGTGTCTGCCCATCCAGGATCCGCCTGGCGCTACGAATCGCCCCTCACCGCAGTCAACTCGAGCGCTGGCACATCTTGCCGTGTCTAATGTTCTTGTCTCCTGCGTCCGCTTTGTGTTGCCACATCGGTGTCGCCGTTTGCCGCCGTCGCCGCCGCCGCTACTATCCACCGCTGCCCCCGCGCGCAGGGAGCATCGAGTACAGCTGCCCGGCCACCAATGAGTGCGAGATCACCAAGCGGCGCCGCAAGTCGTGCCAGGCGTGCCGCTTCATGAAGTGCCTCAAGGTGGGCATGCTCAAGGAAGGTGAGTGGCCAACGGCGCGCGTGTGTGTGTGTGTGTGGCGCATGCATGCATTTTCACGACCGGGGTCATTCATCATCTCGACACGAGCGGTGCGTCTCCGTGACCTGAGTGCGCATCCTCCCCACAGTGGCGAGCGAGGCCACGAATCCAATTTCGTCGACTGGTGCCTCTCGGCACGTGCCGCTGACAGTGCCACGTGCTCGTTTTGCGGCGTTGCTCACCGGCGTACGCGGTGATGGAGACCTCAACTCTTGAGTCGCTTTTGTGCCAGCAAAGCCCCACGCTCTCCGAGCATCATTATTTGGGCTTCACGGCCGCGAGTTATTCGTGGAGTTTCGTGCATCTTGGTCGAGGAGGGGGTGGTCGTTCTATGGCTGTTTCCAAGAGGAGGCTTGGGGGGGGGGAGGGTAGGGGGGATGGCCCGGGGGGGCGGTGGTCTGACTAGAGGAGCCCGGGGGAGCCGTATGTAATCGCAGCGATTGCGGTCGTCACAGGGGAGCGGGGGTCCATGCTCTGAAGCACACACATGCGAATGGGAGGTGGAGAAGGAGAGGGCCCGGCTTCGGATAAGCAAGTGCCAGCAAAGTTAACGTGCCTGCGTCTGTCGTCTATCTCAGCAGCATACAACACTGTGGGTACAATGACGGCAAACGAATAGAATAACGCTGACTCGGATAAATCGGCGTTCCACCGGCGTTAACTACCGCCACCTAATGCCGTGTTGTCGATGTGTACACCGTGGGGGCAGCACTTGTTACGGGACCTTTTATTTTAAATTAAGCCGGCGCTTGCGCAATGTTTATATATATAAAAAAAGTATTGTTCGTCTAAATGAACTAATGCATTAACAAAAATTGGCTGCGCAATGAAACCTTGGAACAGTTATACAATTTTCCCATTTGCATAGCAGAGTATCATTAGAGAGAAGGAAAAAGGCAAGGGCGATGATGTGTAAAGAGTTTGTTACTTTGCAGCGTAATGCAACCTATTAATCATTATTCATGTGAGAGACGGCCCGGCGAGGAGGGGAGTCCAACTGAATGCAGCAACGTGGCGCCTTGATGCCCGAATAATAAAGGAGAGTAACTCGTGCTGGTAATTTGTGTTTTAGTGTTACAGATGGCTTTGTCGTCCATCATGTTTACTGATATACTGGGTTCTTCCCCGACTTCATTTTCTAAATGTGTCTAAATGCACATTTACCCTTCCTTTATGAATGTTATCTAATACCGAGAATGTACTCAGCGTTATTAATGCCGGGCATGCCGGACACACAGACGTAAGCGGTGCCGGTTGCATCTCTGGGCATTTGCATGCAAGCCCTGTCGATTTGAAGCTCCTTCTGTTTAATTGGATTCACCCCTCTCGAGGGCCGTTTGTCATTCCCGGCCGCGTCTGCGCGTGTTTTATTGTGTGCGCCGGGTTTTTTAAATTTTTATTTGGGTCTGGACATTCCGCCCGTCATGCGCGCGACATGCCAACGTGCGGGCGCCCTCAGCTCCCCCGGCACAGAGAGAGGGGGAGAGGCTCAACAGGATGACGCTCCGAGCCCTCACAGCTCCGCACTCCACCTTCACTTCACCCTCACTCCACCTTCAATCCTCCCTCACTCCACCCCTCACACTCCACCCTCACACTCCACCCTCACACTCCTCCCTCACTCCACCCCTCACTCCACCCTCACTCCACCTTCAATCCTCCCTCACTCCACCCCTCACACTCCACCCTCACTCCACCTTCACTCCTCCCTCACTCCACCCCTCACTCCACCCTCACTCCACCTTCAATCCTCCCTCACTCCACCCTCACACTCCACCCTCACTCCACCTTCACTCCTCCCTCACTCCACCCCTCACTCCACCCTCACTCCACCTTCAATCCTCCCTCACTCCACCCTCACACTCCACCCTCACTCCACCTTCACTCCTCCCTCACTCCACCCCTCACTCCACCCTCACTCCACCTTCAATCCTCCCTCACTCCACCCTCACACTCCACCCTCACTCCACCTTCACTCCTCCCTCACTCCACCCCTCACTCCACCCTCACTCCACCTTCAATCCTCCCTCACTCCACCCTCACACTCCACCCTCACTCCACCTTCACTCCTCCCTCACTCCACCCTCACTCCACCTTCAATCCTCCCTCCCTCCACCCTCACACTCCACCCTCACACTCCACTCTCACACTCCACCCTCACTCCACCTTCACTCCACCCTCACTCCACTCACACTCCACCCCTCACTCCACCTTCACTCCACCCTCACTTCTCCCTCACTCCACTCACACTCTACCCCTCACTCCACCCTCACACTCCTCCCTCACTCCACCCCTCACTCCACCTTCACTCCTCCCTCACTCCCCCCTCACACTCCACCCTCACACTCCACCCTCACACTCCCCCTCACACTCTCCCCTCACACTCCCCCCTCAAACTCCCCCCTCACACTCCCCCCTCACACTCCCCCCTCACACTCCCCCCTCACACTCCCCCCTCACACTCCCCCCTCACACTCCGCCCTGCACCACACGGCAGTTTGCTCTCTGCCGAACACGTTCCCATCGCGCAGGGCGCATGCCTGCACTGGGCGCTGTGTGCTGCTGCTAATGTTGCTGTAAATAAGGGCTCCGGATCAATGACGACCGTCATCACTGGCAAATGCGCGGACTTGAAAACCATATTTGTCACGATGAAGTCTGCTTGATTTACAACGATCCAAACTCCGCACGCACAAATGGATTGCGCGGCACCGCCCAGTTGTTTATGGTACTTGTGTTTGATGGGCGTTGCGCGGGGACGGAATAAAAACCTCGCCTGCCGTTTCTCCATCGCTGTCGGCGGGGGGGTGGGGTGGAAGAAGCAACCGCAGATGAAACTCTGATGAACGCAGGAGGAGCGGCGCTCTCACTGTCCTCTTCGTCGGTCTGACGTGTGCGGACACTTGACGAGGCGTGTGTCACAGGAGGGTAATGGGGCCACGATGCCGAACTTAGTCGTAGGTGCCACGCCGTCATCATCAGCGCGAGCGGCGGGGGTGGAGGGGGGGGGGCAGTCCCTCCGGCACAACACAAGACTCAAGTCCCCCGCTGAACAAAGAGCCTCTGAGAGAGAGAGGGAGACGAAAGGGGGTGGTGGGGTTTGTGCTGTGAATGGTGATACTTTAGATTCTCAAACGCATCGCATCACTCACCCAATATCGATAGAGGAATATTAATAAATTGAGCGCGGTCGTTTATTGAGAGATGACCTGCACGAGCGATTGGTGCCCACGGGAGCGACGGAGTCTCTTCTGTCGGTGCAAGTGCCGTACGTGACGTACCCTTATCTGTTTGTTCATCCGAAGCATCGTAATCGTCGTCATGAGCACTGATCAATCCACTGCTGGATGAAGGCCTGCCCCCTGTCTCTGCCTCCCCCCCCCCCAAGCTGTCATCATCTCTCATGGTCTTGCAATTCAGCAATCCATCTTGGCACTTGCATGTCAGCTGATTTCTGCACTCTGTCTCTGCAGTGGACATCCTCTCAGGCGTGTTCCTTCCTTCAGTTGCTCCTATGTCTCGAGTCTCGACCGCCAGCCTTCATCTCTCCTCGCCATGCATGCTACCCTCAGTCACATTTCTCAGCAGTCAATACAATGTCTCCAACCTGCGTACATTCTCCCAAGCATCCGTTCCTCGTTCTGTCATCCAGTGTCATTCCGTGCATTCAAACTCTCCACGCTTCTTTGTCCACGTTCAATCTGTCGTTCCCTTTTCTTTGTCAGTGTCCATGTTTTCAGATCCATAAGTCACAGTGGGTGATGTGCACTGATTAAACGCGGTCTTCTTTAGGTAAATTGCTACGGTGATTTTTATCGTTAGGTTCAAATTTTCTCACAGCACCGCAACCTTTTGTCGTCTGCTTCTTTATTTAAACGCTGTTTACCTCGGTTCACGTTCAATAACCGTCCGAGGTATACATACTCTATTGTGTTTTCCATTTGTCTTCCTGCTACGTATATGTGTAATTGTTTGGAAACCCAGTAAACTTTCCAACGTTGGGCCAACATTGCCACGTGCTCGGGACCGTTGACCCAAAGTTTGCGCAGCATTCACCCAGTTTCGTGTTTTCTGGGGAGATTGTTGTATGCGACTTTAGCCCGTTTATCGTTCTCTATAATTCCGAGTTATTTTTTTCTGGATAGTATCAAGACTGTTATCCGGCTAATCCAACATGGTTCATGTTTTTTCCATTTATAATGATGCCCTTACTTCTCAGGTCTAATTTTCAGAAAACATTAATATGTCCCTGTGAATAGCCTTACTCTGCTTGTCTGACTCAACTTTGTAATACGTACTAATTTCAAACGTTTATTTTATTTAGGCCCCTGATTTGTTAGTGGTCGGATGATTGCATCAATTTTCAATGCGATTTCATAATCCGCAGAGGCCCTGCGTAGTGTTCATGATAATCCTTTAATCTTTTCCAGGATCTGGTGGATAGTATTTATGTGGTCGATGTTAGAGAATCATTTCTTCAACTCTGCTTGCTCAAGTGGTCGGTCGGCCTCTAAATTCCGTTTTATTCTATTCCCAATGATCTCCCTGAACAATTTATATACGTGCGATAAGAGGCACCTAATGGGTCTTCAATTCCTCCAGTCGATTTTATCAGCCTCATTGAATAGAAGAATGATTGAGGTATCATTTCCAAGATTGAGGTGTTTAATTTCTGTGTAAACGTTTAGTAAATATATCCGTTAACTTTGTCACAACAACTAGTCTTGCTTATTTGATAATGTCCATAGTGTATAGCTGCTGGTCCAGGAATATTAAATTTTTTCATCATGTGAAGGGCAGTGTCTACTTTTTTAGGTATCTGGAATTTCCACCCCTTCATCAAAACCATGGTTTCAAGGCAGGGATAGACGATGTTTTTGCTATAGATCTTTGCATACAATTTCAATCAAGGGTTATGGTTCCAACTCTTTATCTGAGGAATGCCATTTGGGAATTGTCAA